TATTGATTTCAGAGAGGAAGGGAGAGGGAGATATAGAAACATCAATGATGAGAGAGAATCATTGATTGGCTGCCTCCTGCACGCCCCCCACTGGGGATCGAGCCCACAACCCGGGCATGTGCCCTGGCTAGGAATCGAACTGTAACCCCCTGGTTCATAGGTTGACGCTCAGCCACTGGGCCACACTGGCTAAGCTGTCATTCCTTCTTCTTGATCTTCTCATTAAACAAGCTCCTTTCCTGTATATAGTTGTGTTTCTGAAAGTAAATGTTAGGACTGTAGTCTATCATTTTAGAGTTATTTATGGCTACAGCAGGATACTTAGTTGTGATAAGTTTTTATTTTTTATCTGAATTGCAATGAGTTGGCCTCCCTAAATTAGTTGTGTGTGTTTTTCTAATCCTCACCAAGGATATGTCTATTGATTTTAAAGAAGACGGGGGAGGGGGGACAAGAGAAACATCGATATGAGAGAAACATCTATCAGTTGCCTCTCATATGCACCCCGACCAGTATGTGCCCCAACTGGGAATCGAACCTGCAACCATTTTTGTGTATAGGATGACACTCCAACCAACCGAGCCACCCTGCCGGGGCTAAATTTGTTATATTTTTTCATGCTTTCCTAACATTGGGCAAAGTAATGTGCTTACAGAACTTTCAGGGTAAATCACATATTTTAGATACACTGAGAGAGTTCATTCTTTAAAAGGCTGCTTTGATGAATCTTCTGTTACAATAATCACTTTTTTTTAAATTTAAATTCTTTATTGTTTAAAGTATTACATATGTCTCCTTTTTCCCTCATTGACCTCTCCCCGGCCACTCCCACCCCCCAGCACATGTGCTTACTCCACTACTGTCTGTGTTTATTGGTTACTAGAGGCCCGGTGCACAAAAATTTGTGCACTGGTGGGGGGGGTCCCTCAGCCCGGCCTGCGCCCATTTGCAGTCCAGGACCCCTTGGGGGATGTCCACCTGTCAACTTAGGCCCACTCCCCGGGGGATCAGGCCTAAGCTTGCAGTCAGACATCCTT